AATTCCCTCCCGAGTACCTTAACTCGGCCAAGGACGAAGTAACATTCCCTCCCGAACTACCTCGTTCGGCCAAGGATGAACAATCAATTCCCTCCCGAGTACCTTAACTCGGTCAAGGACGAAAACTTATTCCCTCCCGAGTACCTTAACTCGGGCAAGGACGAAGTAACATTCCCTCCCGAACTACCTCGTTCGGCCAAGGATGAACACTTATCCCCTCCCGAGTACCTTAACTCGGTTAAGGACGAACACGTGTTCCCTCACGAACCATGTGGATCGGTTAAGGATGATTCAATAATTCCCTCCCAAGCAAACCTCACCCGGCTGAAAGACATCTCAACTTTATCGTTCAAATGGAAGCAAATCTCCATAGAAAAACCGATTCATTTGAAAGCACTAGTTAACAAGAAATCTTTAACACACTCGATTTATGTTTAAGACTGCAGATGACTTGTTAAGCTTAATAATAATGATTAATTACTAGGACAAATTCTCATGAGTTGAAATCTAATTCAATTTTATGAAATTAGTTTATTTGGTAATAATTGTTTTCTATTTATTTTATTCATACCACTAATTAATATAAAATTTTCAACATATATGAATTAGATATTTTGAACGTAAATTTGTATGATTAAACATTTGTAAATAATATGATAATTCTGAGTAATTTATAAATTTAACAATAATTATATATCATCTTAAGAAAATAAGTTGTAAATCTAACTTAATATTAAAAAAATTATTATAAAATGATGATCATTTTCTATTTATATATTATATTTTAGTCATATATATTTTTAGTCAATGTGAGAATGTGAGATGTTTAATACAATATGTTATATTAGTAGATTCCTTTAACATTTCAAAGCTTTTAAAATATGTTTAAATATATTAAATACTTCATTTCATATAAATATAATTATATTACATTGTATTATACATTCTAACGCAGCATGCATTATTACCTTTCTTGGTAACATTTTAAATATTAGTATATTAAATACTTTATTTCCTATAAATATGATTATTACATTGTATTATACTTCTAACCAAGCATGCATAACCTTTCTTGGTAAAATTTTAAATATTAGTTAACTAACTTGATGCTATCACTAATCTTCCAAATTCAGGTTCAGCTTGGACAATACTATCAAGATCATTCGCAGAGTATTGCATCATTGGGTGGGAAAATTTGCCAAGGACCCTTCTCCTCTACTACACAAACTTCGTGTCATCCCCAGAAGGGTATTTCCAAACGGTTATATGCAACTCCAAGGACTACAAGAACACCACAGCAAATAGTGACCTACACTTCGTTGCTTGGGATTACCCTCCAAGACAACACCCAAGGACACTAGGGCTCAAAGATTATAGGAAAATGGTGTTGAGCAACCGTCCATTTGCAAGAAAATTCAAGAAAAATGACCCTGTTCTAGACAAAATTGATAGAGAACTTTTGAAGAGGCATCGTGGGCAATTTTCTTTTGGGGGATGGTGCTCAAAGGGTGGAAGAGAATGCCCTAGTTTGAAAAGTGAGCATTATGGTGTTCTAAAACCTGGTCCAGCCTCCAAAAAATTGAAAGCTCTCCTTTCGTATACTCTCTCTCGTGAGGTTTTTCGCAAGAAACAATGCCGGTAACTTTTACTTCATTTTCCGTACTTGATCACTCTCAAAGATTGTCCTAATATTAGAAGTGTACAATTTTTAACGTGTGGTTATTACATGTTGAATTTTATTAAATTAAAAAATATATTAAGTAAAGCCTATAACATTTTAAAATTACTTGATACTTTATTAAATAAATTTTATTTAACGTATGGGACCCTCTTAGATTTGAGGCAAATATTAAATAATCTGAAACCACCCATAATAAGAATTTATTATAGAATCACAATTATATTTTTTATTTAAATAAAATAAATATGTTTTAATTTTAATTTTTATAATTTTTTATTTTTATCTCTTTAAAAATTTAAAGTTATTATTATTTATTTATAATGTTTATTTTAATGTAGATAAGTAATATATGTTTTTACGATTTATAAATTTTTTTAAAGTCTCGCACACTAACTTAATATAAAATATAATTGTAAGTGCCACGATCACACACCATAAGATGAACACAAAAAATGTTAAAAATTATTACATGATACTAGAAATTAAAAAAAAAATCAATCCTAAAAGAAAAAAAAAATAACTTATAGAAACTAAATTAAAAATAACTCATTTTACAAATACTAAAAGTATATATAACTCATTATTAACCTATTTATGATACATATATTATCCTTATTTGTTTATGTATCAAATAATATATATGTATTACTAATAAATAAAAAATTTATATATATTATTTATATATATATATATATATATATA